TCACCTATACTTCTTTGCCTTTTCCTCGATCGATCCTACTTGTAGATTGTTCCCGAACTCGAGTAGGCTCGGTATCTACATAAACATAATTTTTTAAGATGATCATGACGTCTGTGTCTGAAATTAAGCTTTAATAGCTTACTAATTAAAAGAATTAATAGCTTAGTCTTGCTTCTTTTCTTTCTTTTTTTCTCATGGGGGAATCGGTTCCCCCCCTGGGGTATCGATTCCCCTCAAGCAATCTGGAATTCATATACGATGAGGGGGTATCGGTCCCCCCCCCTGGGGGTACCGATTCCCTCTAGCATTCTGGAAATCATATTCGTTGAAGGGGTATCGGTTCCCCTTGAATGGGTACCGATTCCCTAACCCAGAAATCCTATTTTTAGCCCGAAAATCATCTAATTTCAACTCAAACATACATATTTCAATCCCTTTACTACTCTTAGCTCTCACACTTACTTAAACTAATTATTATCCATTAAATACCTCTAAAACTTAGAAATCTAATTCTCCATATAGCATTTAAGAACTCAAATTCCAATATGTTCTAATTTGAATTCTAACCCTCACTTCTTAATTAGCTTATTGACAAGTCAAAATTCTGATTCAAACAAAACCTCATCCATATCAAAATCTCATCTAAAAACTCATTTCCAAATCTATCTCTAAAACACTAATCTTGTTGTTTTAATGTCATATAAGCTTTCCTTTAGCTTATATAACATCCAAGCTTTCATTTCCAATCATAAAACATCAAAGAAACTATCAAGTTCAGATTCTTACCTTAAATGCAAGCCCAACGTTGAGAGAAGGAAGAGAAGAAAATGAGGAAGAAGGGAGAAGAAATGGGAGGTTCTGGAATACACGTGTTCTCATATACCCCATAGCATTTTATTTAATTAAAAATTCCCCTTGCAAATGACCATTTGGTCCTCACCTTAATCTCATATTTACCAACCTTTATTTTTAAACTATATAATTGTTCTACTTTAATCACCAAATGTTGAAACTTTGCAAATTAATCACTAACCCGGCATGGAGGATGTTACAGAGCCAGCCGCAACTCAAGTTCGATAGGGAGCTGTTCTTTCAAAGTCAATTTTCAGCTCCACCGAACGAAAATTTGTGTCTTTTTATCTTTGTCCTATTTTCGTTCCACGAAAAATGACAAAAAGGGGCAGCTGTCGACATATTTCTTTCATGTAGCATTTACGTGTTAATTTACATATTAATTTATGCGTTATTTATAATATGGTGTATGTATTATATTACATATATACATATCATATATATATATAATTATAACTTCAACTAATTTACTTATTTTTTTTTCAATACATGTTTTAGGCTTGAATATTCGACCCATTTACAACACTCCTGGCCCTCACCAGACCCAATCCATACGTGCAAACCAGACCAGCAAGCTAGGGTTTCCAGAACCCTAGCGTTTCAAGCGGTGCTGCATCATTCATTCGCCAAACCAACCACGGGGCCAAGTCTTCCATCGGTCTCTTGCCCAGCAACAACCCACGATCCTCTCTCTTGGACGCAGCAACGTGGAGTTATAGGACACCATAAGCAACAAAGTGCAAGTGATTTAGTCAGATTAAAACTCTAAAAAATCGGACCTAAAAACAATATATGGTAGGCTATAAATATTCATGTAAATAATACATTTAGGGGGGATTTTGTACGAATAGTGAGAAATACAATTTTTTTTGCATGCATACACATTGTTTTACTCGTTTTTTACACGAAAATACAAGAAATATATAGAAAGATTTGAACCTTGAAAGAAAAAAAGAGGAGAGAAGCCAGGGAAGCAACCAAAGAAAAAATTTTTACCATCGATCCGAAATACCAGACAAAAAAAAAAAACAGGTGAAAAAATTCAAAAGCTTTACCGGTCTTCGAGAATAGCCCGCGTCTTCGCCAGAACCCAAAATCTTCAAGCTTTCGAAGGAGGCGTGGGAACAAAACATATAAGTGTCTGTTCGTGGTCTTTATCTTAGAAGGTGAGTCTCTCGTGGTTTTAAATACACCCAGCCGGACCCCATTGTCTTGGGGCAGGAGAACCATTTTTTTCCTTTTATTTTTATGCGAGTACTTTGCATATTTTATTCCTACAGCTAAAGCTGCCAATGTTTGGTAAGTAAGTGTGGAAAGGAATGTTAGGAATTATTAATAATAAAATCTTAAATATTAAAAATTCAACATGGGAATTGGTCCATCCCTTTTTTTTATTTTATATTTCTTTAATTCCAAACTAACCCTTCAAACTTTGCTTTTTTTAATGGATTATGCACGTGGAATCTTTAAAGTATTAGGAAATATGTGTTTTTTTAGTTAGGAGCTAATTACCGTTTAGTCCTCTATGTTTTTGATTATTTCATTTATTTTTATTTATTCTCATTTGTATTTTTTTTAAAACCAACCAAATTATTTTTTATTCATTTGACTTTCTTTTATTATTTTATTATTTTTTAATTTTTATTATTATTTTATTGTTTTTGTATTTCATTTTGTACTAATTTTTAATTTTCTTGTTACCTATTTTATCTTAGAATTTTTCCCATTGTATTTATTTTTTTATCATCTAACATTTTGGGCATTTTTAGTAATATTTTCAATCGATCAAAGGTAAGTGATCTGATTCGATTTTTTAAATTTTAATTTAAATTTCTAACGTAACTAAGACAACCCACAAATTAATTGGTACCAAAAGAGCGGTTCAAGGGTGCTAATCATTCATTAACCGTAACCGACTCCCGAACCCGATACGTTTCTGGTACAACGCAGATCAGGTAAGATGGTGTCCGACCCACCTAAATTCATTTTAAAGTGGTCGGTGGCGACTCCAAATCATTTAAACCAAGTCGAAGCCCAATTCCGGGACCCAACCGAAAGACGGTTCCGACACTAATAAAGGAAGTGTTGGAGTTATAGTAACGCCGTATTGGTTCGGTTTAGGTGTGGTTCTTGTATGAATTGTTTTAGGGATTATTTTATATCCATTATATGTGAATTTTTAATAAAATAAAATATTTATCGTGAAAAAGTAAAACTTATATTAAGATCATTTTAAAAATATTTAAGATCTAATAAAATAATATTTCTCAGTACATTTAGATAGATAAAATGTTACTACAACACCGATCATTATTAATTTACTTGAAAGACTGAAGCTTTAAAAAAGGATTTGATAGCAGAAAATTAAGTTTTTATTTTATTTTTATAGATATTATTAAAGGGGTTTGATTTTAGGGATTTTAGAGAGGGTCTGATTGTCATTTACAAATGAAATAAGTTGTAAATAGCTTCGGAAGAAAATAATATTATACTGATTTTGTATAATATTATTATTATTAATTTTATTTTTATTTAATCAATAATATTTGATTTATTGATCGATTAGTTCAAGTTGAATACGAGATTCATTATGATAACAATCTCTCAATCCAATATAATTCATTAACAATATCTGAATTTAAATATGATATTACTTAAAACAAATCATTGTCTCTTCCACTTAAACTAATTAGTTATTTGTAAGTTAATAATTTTTTAATTGTTAATTTCATTGAGTGATTATTACAAAGAACTCAATCAAAATAAAGTTCCACGAAACAAATTCAACAAATAAAAACCGAAATCATCGATCAAAATCCTTAAAATTCCTTAGGGGCTGTTTGGTTTACGAAATGTGAGATTCCTATGGGAATGAAATCTACATTTTCATGTTTGGTTGGTCGGGAATCTCATTACCGATAATGTTTTATTACCAATAGTAGATTTTTTGGGGTATTACCGGAAATGTCATTACATCAATTTCTTTAAGTATTGTTGGATTACTGACGTTTTGGACTAAAATGCCCTAAATGTTTTCCCTAAAAATATCTTTCTTCTTTCTTCTTTCTTCTGTCATTGAATATAAAAATTCTACGAAGGTTAAATTACAAATTTATCCTTAAACTATTTTAGACTTACAAAAAAAAGTCTATAATTAAAATTTTATATAAAGTTCAGGGGTTAAAATAAAATTTTACCCTTTCATTAAACCTTTTTATATTTTCAATTTGTAAAAAAAATTATATAAATTTATGAATTTAAATTTTTTAAAGAAAATATATAAATATTTTCCAACTTGTTAAAAAAACAAATATATAATAAGGACAATTTGGTCAAATATACATTCCAATAATCTTTTATTTCTTTAACCAAACATTGTAATCTTACATTCTTGCTAAACCAACCAAACACAAAATACAACATTCCCAGTAATCCTATTCCCTGGTAATCTTACATTCCCTCTGGTAATCTTACATTCCGTGAACCAAACGCACCCATAAAATTAATTGGATGTAATGTACAAAGAGGGTCTCTAATTACGCCCTCTAATCTTATAATTATTATTATTTAAAATTTAAATATATATATAAATAATGTGACATGAAAAGTTTAAATATAATTACACCTCACTAGTTAAATATATCAAGAGAATTAGTTTTTCTTATAATTACACTCCCAGTTCCCAATAATTATATTTTCATGTAATTATACAGTAGTATCTAAAATATCCTGAAAATTTAAAATCTTTTTTTAAAATTTTTATGAATACTTTTAAAATTTTAAATTTTAAGACGATAACGTGAAATAATCTTATAATACTATACCATTACGGCTTAATGGTATTAAAAAAAGTTAATTAATCTAATCAAAGATAAATTTAGTGATCAATATAAGGAAAAATTCAAAAATCAATGCGTAAGGAAACTACAAATTCAGAAACTAAACATAGAATTAATCCAAAAGAATCAAAAGATTTCTTTGTAACAACTTTTCTCCAAATATTCATTAATTTTCAGAATTTGAACATGATTCTCTCTTTGGTTATATAATTGTTTTTACAATCATACAAAATGATGTTGATATTTCTTTTTCATTACAAAGTTTAACGACATAATGACCATTTCGTTACTTTTAGATAATATTAATAATTATTTCTGTACTTTTGCAAAATCGTTTATCAAAGCCAAGGCATTACTTGTCTTTTTTGAAACTGTCTGAACCTGGGTTTTGGTTGGATCGTTGGGTAGCCCATCACTACAGGTGGTCAAACCCGTCAAAGCACTACTAACCCATGTCTGAATGTTGTTTGTCTTGAAACTAAAATCGGACGATTGAATCGTATCCATCTCGCCAATCGACTTCCTGATCTTATCTACGCCATCGCCAAGTACCTCGGAGCAATCTTGCATGGCAGGGGTTTTGGGAAGTTTGGCCATCGAGGCGGTGGTCGACTCGAGGTTTAAAAGGCATTCTTTTAGTGCCGCATTGGCTTTCATATATTGGGGACTCGATTTAGGGTCACCTTGTCCATCAACTAAACTCAAGTTTACGAAAAAATTAAGGACAAGAAGAGTAACAAGGAATTGAAGAGAATGATTAGAGATTGTGGTTGCCATATCTCTAAGTTTTTCTTCTTTCTAAAAACTATGAAGAGAGAGTGGAATGCGAAGAAAATTGGATGGGAGGCCTGCAATTTATAGGGAAAATGTTATCGTTTGTCCATGTACGTAATTCACGCATATGTGATGTAATTGTCTCGCTAGCCCTAAAACGAGGCTAATTATCTGTGCGTAGTTGAAGATAAATAGAAATAAGTTGTGTTCAAAAGGATTAATATGTAGAATTGTAGATGGCCTTGTACAATGGAAAAATTCAGTTTGGTATTTGATTTTTTTTTTCCAGTTTTGATACTTAAATATTTAGGATTAATATGTTTGGATTCTTTAGGACTTTTTACATTTTTTGCATTTCATAATTTCAAAAGGAAATTCTATTTTTTTTTTGAATTTTATTTCATATTTTTATAATTTCAAAAATGTAAATTTTAAGATATTTATTATTATTATTATTATTATTATTATTATTTTGTTGAGTTAAGGGTCCTGCTAGGCCTGTAATCGAACTGAACGTTTAGCGAACCGTTCGTGAATTGCTTGGCGGGAAATGCGTTTATGTTCGTTTATTTATTAAACGAACAAACATGAAAAGATTTTGTGTTCATTATTTATTAAACGAACGAACCTGAACAATATTTTGTGTTCGTTTAATTAAATGAACGAACTTAAACAAATGACTCGTTCGTTCATTTACGTTCGTGAACGTTCGGTAATATGTTAGTTTATGTTCGTTCATTTATGTTCGTTCGTTTATATTCGTTTATGATCATTTATGTGCGTTCATTTATGTTTAGCCCATATCTTTAGACCATTTAAAATATTAAAGCCCAATAAATTTTAATATGATACCCATAAATATTTTAAAATTTAATTAATTTTAAATACAAATACAAAAGCTCAAAAAAATTAAATAAAATATAATGCTAAAATTGTTAGTAAAGAAAAAAAAAAATCTATTTTCATTTATTTTGTTTATGTTCGTTGTTTATTTATTGTGTTCATTTATGATCATTTACATCTGTTCGTTTATGTTCGTTCATTTGTGTTCCTTTATCATTTAAATGAACGAACATGAACAACCAATATTCCTTAACGAACGAACACGAATAAGAAATTTTTTGTTCGTTTATGTTCGTGTTCGCTCATTTGTTTAGTTAAAATTAAATGAACGAACATGAACATACATCCGTTCATGTTCGTTCGGTTCGTTTACATGCCTAGTCCTAGCCTAGGGTGATCCTATCACGCTCTCTTTTCTAATTGAATTCTCGCAGCTACTGGTTCAAGGGGCCGACTAAACCCTTGTGACCTGTTCTGGAGCGACCAAGCATGCTTTGCTAAAGAATGTGCAACCTCATTTGCTTATCTAGGTATATGCCTGATGGTTATTTTCCATTCTCTATTTAGAAAGGATTCTATATGCTGTAAGATGGTTAGTTGTATTCTCTCAACTGAATTCTCTCGTATGCAGGGTTTTAAAAAACGGTCCGCGACCGCGATTTCGGCCTCGTTATAGCGGTTTCGTTGCCGTCCGAGTTACCCACGACGGCCGCAATCACGGTAAATCCGAAATAACCGAAAATACGACCGCGATCGCGATTTGAAACCCTGCTCGTATGAGCTTAATTGCTTCATTGTTGTCCGCTTCAATCTCTACTTGCCTTTTGCCGGCGTTCCATGCCAGGCGTAACCCTTCATGTATTCCCTATAGCTCCGCTTCTAATGTTGAGCAGATCCATATTTTCTTGGAGTAACCCCAAAGCCAATCTCCTTTGTAGTTGCGAGCAACCACACTTCAGGTAGTTTCGCTCGTAACGTTGTTCCTTGTACCATCCGTGTTTACTTTGCACCAGCCTGGGTTCAGTTGTAGCCATCTACTAGGGATCCTCCGAGTAACCGTGATTGGCTTAATGCGAGATTCCCTTGAGTCGACTATCTCCTCGGTGATTCTTCTTGTTTTGTCTGCGATTGTCTCTCGTTCGATCATGTCAAGGTCGAAAGTAGCTCGATTCCTTCTGTCCCATAGTGCCCATATGACTGAACCAAAAAAGATGTCCTAGTTCGGCATCCCATTCGTCTAGGGGTTAGAGTTTTTCAAATTTCTTAGGGTCCATTCTTTAAGATTGCAGCTGAGGAACTCATCTATGAGTTCTAGTTTTATCAGTTGTTGCCAAACTGTATATGCCATTGGGCATGTTCCAAGGACGTGGCTGATATCCTCAATTGCAGCGTTACAATAACTACAACTTGCTTCTGTTGACATGTGCCTTCTGACTCGTTCTGAATTGTAAGAAGCCGTTCGCTACAGACTAGCAAAAGAAAGGCTTTAATGCTATTATTATTTTTTATTAATCTAGGTATCTTACAAGTGGTAATATTTGTCTAAAGACTCTCAACCGTTTAATAATGAATGCTCAAATACCATGCAGTCCCTAGAGCTCGAACCTAACATTTGAGACTAAAACGTGATAAAAACATAACATTTTAAGTGAGACGTAACATAAAATATTATCATTTTCGGTTAAACTAAAAACCTTACATTCTTCTAAATATTTTGGGCTGGCAACCAAAAGTGATATTTTCTTCGTAATATTTTAAGTTAAACCAAAAATATAATTAAAAATATAACATTTTAGGTTATAATTGACCTAAAATATTATATTTTTATCACATTTTCAATATTTTTTAACTTTAAATTAGGTTGTTGCACCACTAGAATAGGTTTGAGGTATGCTTTCAGGAACAAATCCTAATATTGGTTATTTTTTCACCGCTTGGAGTCCCTTTCCTCTCTCCAGTAGTTATCTTCGCTTTTTGTTTATTCTTTCCGGCCGTAGTGGCCTCCATCTGTTGGGTGTGGGTCCCACAATGTGGGGAACCCATCACCGATCAATCCAACTTTAAAGATTGCATGTTTTACTTTTTGTTTGGTACAAAAAGGTTCTGCCACATTTAATCTTTTTACTTTGGTAAAATACAAACTTTTTGGCTTTTATGTGTGGGCGTGGGCAGTAGAAAAATCAGATTTGGGTTTGAAAGTTAGAAGCTCGTATTCAAGAGAAATAAGGGGAGAAAAGTAGATTTTTTTAAAGTTTTGCAGCAGTGATCAACTATTTGATCGAAGGTCTATTCGTGGTTCGATTGAGCTATTTTTGGACAGAAACTAGTCGACAAGGTGTTCTTGACTTTGTACGGTCAAAATTTTCATCCGAGTTCTGTAGTGTTACAAATACTCTTTTTTTAGCAGCTAGGTTTTTGGTGATGTTATCACATTTTTCTCTCTTTTGCTAAAATTTTAAATGTTATTAGCCTTGTTGGAGTTGAATGCTTGTTGTAGGCTTGATATTGTGATCTTGTAGTTGAAAATTTGATGATAGTGGAGCTTTTGATCAAACTCTAAAATCTCGTGGTTTTTACCTTTGATTTAGAGGGGTTTCCACATAAAAACATAGGTTTCTCTATTTAATTTTGTTGTGGTTGCATTGGTTGATTTGTGGTTGATTAAGGTTTCTAGATAACATATTTTATGTTATTGTGCTTGCCATAATTTTTGACAGGAGTTATAGGGAGAGAAAGAACACCGGTTATGCTTTCGCTTGTGTTCGATTGTTCAATTTCTTCCCCAATAAACTGGTATCAGAGCTTGGTTATTGTGTCAAATAATTATGAAAATTACCATGAGCAAGATGATTATGTTGAACGACATGAATTATCAATTTTGGCGGAATAAAATGAAATACTTATTGTTTATGAAGGCTTTGTACCTTCTGGTATTTACTACTCAAAATTTTGATTCGAAAAGTGATGAAAAATGAGATTTAGAGCATCAACAAGTGTGTGGATTTATTCAAAAAATTTTTTGAAGAGAATGTATATAATCACATTGATCAAGAGACACATGCTCACATATTATGGGAGAAGCTTGAAAGCTTGTATGCTTTGAGGTCGGGCAATAACAAGTTTTTGCTGAAGAAAATGATGGCGTTGAAATACAAATAAGAAACATATATAGCTGACCATGTTAGTGAATTTCAGAGTGTGATGAATCAGTTACTTGGTATGGGCGTCAAATATGATGATGAGATTTTAGGCCTTTAGTTGCTTGCTACTCTACCAGACTCTTGGGAGATTTTTCAAGTCTCGCTCATTAATTCTTCTCCACAGGGTATTATTACTTTGGATTTGGCTAAGAGTGATATGTTGAATGAGGATGTTAGAAGAAGATCTCAGGGTTCTACATCACAGCCCGAGGTTTTGGTTACCGAAAATAGGGAGAGAAACAAAGACAAAGATGGTAAGGGTAGTGATAAAAGTCGAAGCAAGTCAAGATCGAGATACAAGAATATTGAGTGCCATCATTGTGGTAAGAAAGGTCATATCAAGAAATATTGTTTCAAGTTGAAGAAAGATAACAAATGTGGTGGTGATAAACATGATAGGAATGATGATGAAAAATCCAAGCGTGTTGCTACTATTACTCGTGATGATCTGTTGATTATTTGTGATGAGAATTTGGTCAACTTAGCATGCAATGAGACTAGTTGGGTGATTGATATATGTGCTTCACTTCATGTCACGTCGATGAGGATTTCTTCACATCTTATACTCCTAGTGATTTTGGGGTATTAAAAATGTGAAATGACGGTTTGGTTCTGGTTATTGGTATGAGAGATGTTAGCTTGGTGATTAACAATTGAAAAAAGTTAACTCTCAAGGATGCTAGACATGCATCAGATATCCATTGAATATGATTTCTGCAGGAAAGTTTGATGATGAAGGATTTTGTAACAGCTTCAGTGAAGGGCAGTGGAAGCTGACTAAAGGCTCTTTGGTTGTGGCTCAAGGAAAGAATATCTCAAATTTGAAATTGATGCAAACTTCAACTTCTTGAGAGATAGTGCATAAAGGACTTAGTCACAAGAGTGATAATGAGATTAACTGTTTAACGAAGAAGAATCAACTTTCGGGTTTGAAGAATGTTACAATGAATAATTGTACTC